TAAGTGCTGGGAAGTGCCTGACCTCCTCCTAAGAGCTTCTCCTCCCAGAGCTTTACACCCTCCCCTCCCCTCCCCTCCCCGACTCCCTGGCTCCCTCTGACTCACCCTCCCCTGCTTCCTGGGCTCCCCTGGCTCTCAGGCTCTGGGAAGCCAAGTGAGCCACTGGAGGCTGGGCCGGAAGGCAGCACTTCCACCCAGGGGAGCTCTGCACCCTGCAAGGAGGCCTACTGACACATAAAGCCTGTTCTGGGCTCCGCCACCCCCCCAGCCAAGCCCCTTCATTCCATTTCAATGTGCTGATCCCACTGACAGCAGAATTAACGAGCACTGGGTGCTCCCTGAGTGGGCAGGGGTGAGCACCCTGGAGGGAGCTTGGAAGGCGCACGTGGGCCAGTGGCAGGGAGCGTGAGCGGCGGTGGAGGAGAGGGGACCAGGGACAGGGAAGGAAAAGCCTCTCCTGAAGCCGGAGCATTTCACAAGCAAGGAAAGCCTGTGACTGCGGGGACTGGGAGGTGGGCTCCAGTGACCCGGAAACTTCCACGGAACCTTTCTCTGCGGCCTTGCCTCAAAATGGATATGGCTCTACTGTCGCCGCTTTTACGCTTAGAAGTGGCGCTTGCTCCTGCCGCCCCCCGCAGGGATGTCCAGGCCCCCGAGTCCTCTGGCCTCTGGTCCTCTCGACGCCCTGGGAAGTGCACTGGCGCCCTGGCGCCCCGGTACCCCTCGCAGCTCTTCCTGGGTTCCCCCGAAGGTGCTTACACACATCTCCAGCCCGATGAGCTGGTGTTAGGTGAGCGGCTTGGCAGCCCGTGCTCCCCACCTAGTGAGAGGCCTTGCACGGCCTCCCCAGCACTGACCGCGGATCCCGGGCATCACCTGTTCGCAGCCGCTTGGCCTTGGGTGAATCCCGCGGCCCGTGGTCATCGTGCTCTGTGCTCTGTCGGCATCATCTGGCACCTTCTCCCCACCGGCTGGCGGCTCGTGCTGGCCGTCCTCTGCATCTGGGAACCCTTCCTGCCACTTATAGGCACTTAAGCATTTGCGTTGTTCTTTCTGCCCGAAATTCTCATTTCCTCCTTCACGTCATTAATTTTCTACTCTTAAGTTTCAACTGAAATGTTTCTTCCTCCAGGAGGCCTTCCCGGATATCCTAGATCAGAGACGGTCTCCCCCATTACCATACCCACGCGGTGCCATGTGCTTTGCCCTCTTGTTACTTATCCTGATTGCAATTCACCCATCGGGCGGTCCCACCCCCTACCCGCCCCGTCTTCCCACCACAAGGTAAGCTCCTGGAGGTCAGACACTGTACCTGTGGTGCTGGCTCAGAAGCCACAGGGCGAGCACGGCGTCTGGCACGCGGGAGTCCTCAGCACACACGTGCTGATTACAGGGAAGGCGGGGCAGCCACGGACACTCACTGCCTCTGTGTAATGTCCCCTCCCACTGTCCCTTCCTCCCACATGAAAGACCTGCCAGCGGGCTACCTGTTTGGGCATCTCTCCGTGGCTATGGGGACCCGCAGGGGAAGGAGAATGGAGTAGGTTCTGGGTCTAGGCACCCTCTGGCTCTCTCAGGCAGGGGAAACATGCAAATCTAGGAGAGAGCCTCCAAAATCATCCAACCCGACTATTCAACAGCCACTGTCCAAGCAGAGAGACCGAGGCCCATGAAGAGAAGGGCATGGCCACCCCCACACAGCTGGGCCGCGGGTTCCAGGGCCCGTCCTCCCCTACACAAGGCAAGCCCAGGCTCACGGCGAGGCGGTGGAGGCCTAGTGGTTAAGGACGTGGAGGGGACGGGGTGGGGGGGACGGGGTCCCCGGGTGATGGGCATTAAGGAGGGCACGGGATGCAACGAGGCCTGGTTGTTACAGACAACGGATGAATCCCGACCTGTACCTCTGAGACTATGATACACTCTATGTTAATTCATCGAATTTAAATAAAATCTAAAAAAAATTAGAATTAAAAAAAATATGGGCTTAGAGTGTGCTGGGTGAGCGCAGGACTAGCACTTCTTAGCTGGGTGACCTTGGGCAAGTTGCTTAATGCTGCTCCCGAATCTGCCACCTGTAAAATGGGGGCAAGAATGTTCCTTTCTCACACGTTGTCCTAGAAATCACGTCACACTGTGTGACGTGTTCAGCACAGTTCCCAGCACGGTGACTCCGCAGTGAGTGGACAACACGATAATAAAAGCTGCCACCTGTCAGTGACGAGAGGGACAGGTGCAGAGACAGAGAAGGAGAGACCGGAGGACACTGCTCAGGTCATCACACAGCATTCCCTCTACGAGACGCCAGACGAACACTGCTCTCAGGCCTCAGGAAGAGGTACAGGCGGGCTCCTCAAGCACAGCTAGTCTGTTTTCATCTCACAGACGTCTCTGACCTGCTTCCCTCTTTGCATTGGCTGCCGGGAAGCTCAGAGCCAATTCTGCATCCTGCCTGCAGCAAGTGTTCCTGGCTTCATCCCTTTCGCTCAGCCCCCATATTTCTTCTCTCCAATCTCCTCAACTCATTCATTTAAGAAAATCTTGGGGTGCTTGGGTGGCTTGATCAGTTAAAGCACCTGCCTTCAGTTCAGGTCATGATCCCAGGGCCCTGGGATCAAATCTCAGCAGAGAACCTGCTTCTCCCTCTCCATCTGCTGCTTCCCCTGCTTGTGCTCTCTCATTCTCTCTCTGTCAAATAAATAAATTTTTAAAAAATATTTTATTTCTTTATTCATGAGAGACACATGGACAGAGCGAGAAGCAGGCTCCATGCAGGGAGCCCAACGTGGGACTCAATCCCAGGACCCTGGGGTCACGCCCTGGGCCAAAGGCAGATGCCCCACTGCTGAGCCACCCAGGCATCTCAATAAATACAATCTTAAAAGAAAAATCTTTACTTGGTGCCTAGAAGCTGCCGATTCTAGGGGGTGGGTGGGAAATAATGGAATTACAACCGCAGGCAGGCCAAACGCAACGCGGTGTGGTGAAGTCGACTAGGCTAGTGGGAAAACTGGTGACCCTGAACGAAGTGTGTGGTTTGTTGAGCCGCATCGTACTGACGTCAGATTCTTGGCCTTGACGGCTGCGCCGCGGTTACAGATGTTGACGCTGGGGGAAGCCGGATGAAGGATAAATGGGGAGTCCCCCTGTGACTTCCCAGTATATCTAAAATGATCCCCAAATAACGAACATCTGCAACAAAATGCACACGTGGGCTACGAGGAGATTGTTTCCTCCTGGGAGTCCCGTCGAGGTGTCACCTTTACCTGAGAGCACGGGGTGCACTCAGACCGGGGGGCATTTCACAATCGTTTGGGGAGCCTCGAGAGCAAGGTTCTAGAAACCAGAATCCCCATTCCCGCAGGGAGTCCCAGCTTTTCAGCGGCTGCGCCTGGAATACGCGTCCCCTCCCTGAAGCTGCACTCACAGGGCCGGAGTGGTGGGAGTATGTGATCTAACGGCACCAAAGTGCTGGGGAAACGGGGGGTGGGGGTGGCCTCGGGCTGTCCAGGCTGCTGTGACAAAGCCCCGCAGACCCGGAGGCCTATAAGCAGCGGGTATTTACTTGGCAGGGCTCTGGAGGCCCGAGGTTGGGGTCAGCAGCCAGCACGGCCGGGCTCTGGTGGGGATCCTGTTCCCAGCGGCAGACAGCCCACCCACCTCGTGTCCTCACGTGCGGTGAGGGAGGCCCTGGGGTCCCACTACCAAGGACACTCCACCTTCGTGACCTGATCACCTCCCACAGGCCCCTCCTCTACCGCCCTTGTGCTGGGCTGAGGGTTCCACAGAGGAGCGTGGAGGACGCAAACCTGCAGCCCGTAACCTTCGTGGTTAACGTTCCGGTCAGCTCAGCCGTCCCCTTGTCCTCTCAACAGCCCTGAGAAAAAGCTGTCACTTATGATGCTTTTCTGGGAGAAGGAAGGGAAGCACGGACAGGTGGAGGGGCTCTCCGCGGTCACCGCGCTATTAAAGCAAAAGCAGCAAAGCGGGGAGTGGAGCCCCATCTTCCGGACCCCAAGCCCAGAGCTCTTGCACCTGCATCGTCGCTCCTAAAAGAAGCTGACAGATGCCCCCGCCCCCCCTCGACTGCTACGGCCCATCCACGACACGCACAGGGCACCTCCTGAGCACCACCCTCACTTGCCACGACCTTTTCATGACCTTGTCTGCTCCTCCATGTCCAGAATCAGTTCCCCCCGCATCAGTGGGGCATTCGAGGCCCTTTGCTACGAGGCACAGTCTCATCTCGTGTCTCGTTCCCCGGCCGCCCGGTTGCCCACGGTCCGGCCTTCTGGCTCCCTCAGTGGCACCCCCTTCTTCCCCAGGCCCTCCTCCCCAACCTGCCTCCTTCCGCAAGGCCGGCTCAGATGCCACCTGGGCCCTTGCTCACTGCTCCCATCGCTGCTGCCTCGGCTTCCCCGGCATCAGGATTTAGCCCAAACACACGCTGCCACTTATTTAGGTGACCTGTGTCCCGGCCCAAGGTCCTCGTCCCTGCCTCCGGACGTCCCGGGCTCCGGCGGGCAAGTTCTGGCAGCGGGACTGGCAGCGGGACGGAGCAGCGAGGCGGCTGAGACCCTGGGCGGTGGAACAGGCGCTGCCCGGGCGGATCCTGCCCTGCAACCGCCCGCCGCGTGCTCGGCGAGTCCGTGACCCCTCCTGCGCGTGTCCACCCGCAGACTGGAAACTGCGGGTCACGGCCGCCTACCCGGGGGCAGCCTGAGGGTTCAATGAGCCCCACGCACAGTTGGCTACAGCGCCTGGCCCATCAGCCTTCTCTAACGGGACAGCGTCGCCCCGGCCGAATGCCAGCGGGAGCTGCTCGGTGCCACCCCCACTCTCCCTCTCCGTGCTCCCCGTGAACCCGAGGTCACCCCCACTCCTACTCCCTCCCTCTCCGTGCTCCCCGTGAACCCGAGGTCACCCCCACCCAGCTCCTGCCCTCTCCCTCCCTCTCCGTGCTCCCCATGAACCTCCCGGAAGTCGGCCCTCGGGGCCCTCACCTTGAGCCCACTGCTCTCTGCTTCTGAGCCCGCGTCCACGCCGGTGACGTAAATGCCCAGGCCGTACTCGGCTCCCCCGCGGATCGTGAGGCCCAGGGAGCGGCCGTCGCCCAGCACCAGGTTCACCTGCAGGAGGGACAGGAGACAGCTATTCGAGGGCCTGGAGGGTGGGTGATGTGAACTTCGCGGGGGCAGCACAGCAGGCTGGAGTCTTGGCATACCCCGAAGGGCACTCCCATTGAGGCCTGGAACATTCCGGGTCCCCTGCCCCAGCTCTGCCTCCGAACTCCTGTGTGACCTTGGGGAAGCCCCTGTCCCATCCTAAAAGAAAGGCAATGAGGGAGGTGACCTCCAGAGACCCCCCAGAGTGACGTGACACCTCAGATTTTCCATGTGCTTCACACCGTGGGGGCGCAGGCACCCCAGCTGCCCTTCACCACCTGCTTCAGCCAGGGAGAGCCTGCTCTGGCCCAGGCTCCTTCACCCCTCATCCTCCTTAGGGTCAATGCTATGTCCACTCTGGTGCCCAGGGGTCCCCTGTCCCCTGGGGGGGTCTCCTGGTCTCCCAGCAGCCCACGGCAGCCTTGCCTCAGCTGCCCTCCTGTCTACAAACAGCGGGAGCGCCTGCTGAGTGCAGACCCAGTGCTGGGGGGGTGACCAAGCGACACCCCAGAAACACTCCTGCTTCCGAGGGTCTCAGCAGAAGAGCACAGAGACCAGCAAGCAGAGCTTCAGAACATAAGTGCTGGCTCAAGGCCACGACGAGGCACAAAAGGTGCAAGGTCCTGACCGGGGGCGGGGTGAGCGGGGTGGCGGGAGGGCTTCCTGGAGAAGGCGGCATCTCTGAGATGGGAGTGTGAGCAGGAGTGAGCCAGCAGGTGCAGGGCAGGGGGGAGACAGGCTTTCCAGGGTCCCAGGGACAGCAGTCCTTGCTGTGTGCCGCCGAGAGGCCGCCTGGCTGTCATGAGGCTCGACCACATGCTCCGCGGCGTAGCCAGCACGGATTCGTTACCTGGGAGGCCCTGCGTCCACTGGGCAGCCTTCCGTCCAGAGGCTCCGGGTGGGGGGGGATGGGAAGGGGACCCGTTTCCTGGCCTCGTGGCTTTCAGGGACCACCTGCCTTCTTGGGCTCATGGCCCCATCCTCCATCCTCAGGCCAGCCGGGAGCACCTCCATGCCCAAGGCAGCACGCCCCCCTTTGTCTGACTCTGCCTCCCAGCCTCCTCCTCCCCAGGACCCCATCACAGCACGGGGCCACCCAGAGAATACAGCAAACTCTCCCCATCTTAAGAGCCTCAACTTGCCCGCAGCCGCCAACTGTCTTAGGCCATGGAAGGGGTCATCCTCGCGGGCCCGGGGAAGAGGCAGCGGGTGGCCTGGGTCATCATTGTGTCGGCCACAGGCACCCCCCCAAAGAGCTCCTAGGGGAAATCCTCATCTCGGAGTCCATCCTGTGGAGCCTGACCTCAGGCAGGGTGTTCCAGAAGTGTGACCTCCGAGCCATGAAGGCCTAGGGGTCAGCCAGGGGAAGGGGGAGGGATGACAAGTATTTGGGGTGGGGGGGGGCAGGAAGGTGTGCAAAAGCTCAGAACCTGGACGTGGCACGGCCCCCAGGGGTCCCGCAGGGCGCTGTGTGGCCAAGAATGGTGGGGAAGGGAGGCCAGGGCAAGATTGGCTGCGGGGGGCCTGGGCCGGGCCGAGAAGCTTTAGGGGGACACTGACCGGCTCAGATTTGGGCCGAGATGCATTAGGGGGAACACAGACTGGCTCAGATTTGGGCTGAGATGCTTTGCGGGGGGACACGAACTGGCTCAGATTCGGGCCGAGAAGCTTTGGGGGACACAGACCGGCTCAGATTTGGGCTGAGATGCTTTGGGGGGGGACACCGACCGGCTCAGATTCGGGCTGAGAAGGACAGAGGGCTTGGAGACAGACGGACGGGGCCTTGCCCCGGGACTGCGCGCTCTCCCAGCTGCGTGATGCCGGCCCCGTCACCGGTACGCCATGGCACACGGTCCCACGTGAATACTGCTCAGGGAAAAACCTCATTCCCCGTCCCCCCAGGACAGCTACTACCACACACAAACACGCCCCTGAAAATACCAAGTGCTGACAAGGAAGTGGACGGAGCAAGTGGAACCGTCGTGCCCCATCGGTGGGCACGTAAATGGGGCAGCTGCCATGGGAACCTGTCAGGAGGTCCTCGGAGCATCAGAAATACAATTAGTATCACCCCAGACTCCAGCAACGGCGCCCAGGAGGCCTGAGAGCGGGTCTCAAGCACGTCCTTGCAGGCCGGCAGCGAGCTGTGTTACCTGCAACTGCCCTTGGGGTGAGGATGCGAGCCTGGTGAGCGCAGGGGGGCCGTCTGACGGCCTGGATGGGGAAAGAAGCCCTGGCACGTGCCACAGCCTGGACGAGCCTCGGGATGGTCAAGGTAGAGTGGAGTCCCCTGCAGGGAACCCGATGCGGGACTCGATCCCTGGACCCCGGGGATCACGCCCTGAGCCAAAGGCAGACGCCCAACCGCTGAGCCGCCCAAGTGCCCCCTCTAAGCCACTTCTTGATGTCTTCAAGCGGGGAGGCTGATGGGCTTCACCCCATCAAACTGGGAAAGAACCGTGAAGGGTGAGGCCCGGAGACCTGCTGACCTCAGGTGAGCGTCACCTCCCGTGGGTGAAGGAAGGACAAGTGACAGAGCCCAAGCAGGTGCTCATCCTCCCTGGAGGGTGATGGGCTGGGCACCAGCCGCCAGGGCCACACGGCTGTTCAGGCCGCCACGAAGATGCCAACTTGGGCTCCAGATGGCCACAGCCTCCTCTGTCCCCTCGTGACAATGGTGGGGAGGTCTGGCCGCACAGGCCTTGGCTTGGAGCGCACCGGGCTGCTGGCAGGCGAGTCCACGGCCGCCCGGTCACTCCCGTAGCAAGCGCTGGGCGCACCGGCATGGGCTCCACGAGGGTGCCAGGGTGCCAGGGCCCCACGGCCCCGGCGCTCACCCGGTGGTGGGCGGAGGAGCCCCTACCCTGGTCTCCACTTTACGGGGACGCCGGGCTCACAGCCCTTACACCACTTGTCCAAGGTCACACGGCCGGCCACGGCGGAGCCGGGATTTGGATCCGCTCGTCCTCGCGGCCCTGTCGCATGGATGCTGCCCTGGTTAAGCCCCCCCGCCCCGACGTGTTCCGGTTTGTTCCCGCTGGAGAGGCTGCGGGGTATTCGAGAACGGGAACCCCGGGGCAGGAAAACCCCGCTGCACGCCGCCCCTCTGGGCCTCGGAGGACGTGGCGTCACCAGAGTGCGGTCGGCTCTGATCCCCGGGGACTTACAAGCCGTCCTGCCCCCTGCTCCCCGCTTCAGCCTTAGGGGGCGGCTCTCACGCCTCAGGAGGGAGGACCGCGTGACGCCGCAGCCCGAGAGCCGGCTTCCCCGACGGGCCGGTCAGGGTCCCACCCACGGTGGGATTTTTTCTTCCCTGCCGCCCTGGGCAGGCTCCCTGGGAGGAGGAGGTGTGAAGGCTGGCGCGGGCAGTCTGGGCGCCTGGTTGCCGTGATCTGTAACGTCAGACAAGCCCAGGACACCGGGAGGAGAGACGCAGGACCCGCTGGGCTCCAGGGCCCCGGGAACAGAAGTGCGGGCCCCCCTGCCCCGCACAACAGGAAACGGGGGTTTCCGGGCTGCGTGGGCGAGAAGAGGAACAGAAGGGCGGCCAGAAGCTTGTCTGGAGCTGTGACATCTGTGAAGGCGGCTCTGGTGTGGTCCGGGGTATTTCCTGCCTCCTGAGGTCTCTGGGTCCTCCCTGGAGCACAGTTCTCTAAGTATCTGCCTTCCGCGTTCCTATGTAAGTTATTCTAAGACTCTGGGCGGGGGGGTGGGGTGGTGAGCACCTTATCTGCTCCCAGCCCTCTCACCCCCTCCATTCCAGCGGTAGGGCCCTTCTGGTTGAGCCTTGAGGACATGCGCTGGTTCCCACCTCAGGGCCTTTGCACATGCTTTCCTTGCCGCCTGGGGTTTTCAGTCCTCTGAGTGCACGGCAGCCCCTTCTTCCCCTCCAGGTCTCAGCTCACAAGTCAGGGCCTCCCTGTCCCTCACGCTCTCCCCGGAGTTTACTTCCTTCCGTGGCTCCTCACCACCTCGATGGCCTTGCTCACTCACGCTCCTCTCTGGATTATTGTCTCACTCGCCCTGTGACCTCCAAGCTCACTGGGAGCTTCCCCACAGCAGGGCCTCATCTCTCTCGTCCACTTCTCTGTGCCTCCCTCCCATCGCCGCGTCAAGTGCTCCGCAGGTGCTAAGTACGGGGTGACCTGTGGAACGAGTCCTGGGTGCCACCGTGTTCTCTGTGGGATTCCTGTGCCTTGAAATGTGGAGGAGGACAGCCACCCCGCTGGGCGGCCGGATTCACTCGGATGCCGGCAGCACAGAGCCCAGCCCCCAGCGGCGCCACGGCCCACAGCCCACGCAGGAGAGGCCCAGCCCCGGGAGGCTGACCTTGAAAATGACTCCAGGCTGCAGGCTCCCGCTGGCTGGCTCGAGATTGCCCGGCGGGGAGGGGGCCCAGCCTCCTCTGCCCCAGCCCGCACTGGCCATCAGGCAGCTCCAGAGGGGGGACCTGCCCACTGGCTACCCCTCTGCTTGCTGCCCAGCACGGGAGCCACCGCCCGCAAGGCGACATCTGCGAGAAGAACACCAAGCCTCGGGGGCACCCTGGTGGCTCAGCGGTTGAACATCTGCCTTCGGCTCAGGGTATGATCCTGGGGACCCTGGATGAGTCCCGCATCGGGTTCCCCGCAGGGATCCCGCTTCTCCCTCTGCCTGTGTCTCTGCCTCTCTCTGGGTCTCTCATGAATAAATTAAGTCTTTAAAAAAAATGAAAAAGGGGCAGCCCGGGTGGCTCAGCGGTCTAGCGCTGCCTTCAGCCTGGGGCATGACCCTGGAGACCCGGGATCGAGTCCCAGGTCAGGTTCCCTGCACGGAGCCTGCTTCTCCCTGTTTCTCTCTCTCTCTCTCTCTCTCTGTCTCTGTCTCTACGAGAGAGCCGCGTGCAGGAGGTACACTCCTGGTCTCCGCAGCAACCGTGGCTGGCAAAGCAAACAGCACCAGAGCAAAGTTTAAAAATTGGGGCGCGGGGGGTGTGGAATTACCTCCTTTTCTGGTCTTTTTAAAAAAATTTTTATGTAAACAGGTGCAATATGAGGGGAGGAGGGCTTCAACAGCCCTGTGCCCCTTCTTGGGGTCACAACAACCCATGGTGCTCGAGGGGCAACATGCCTGCCGCCACCCACTCCAGCCACACTCTCCAGGCACCCGCTCCGGCCTCCCCTTGCAGCCTCCCCCTCCAGTGGCGTTGGTTCTGTGGATCAAAGCGCCTGCCCTGCAAAGGGGCAGAGAGCCCACACGCTGGAAATGCCTTTCCTCCGGGAGGCGCACCGAGCTCCTCACCTTCAGTTCTGGGACTGCCCTCGCCGGCTACGAGGTGAGCAGCACCAGGTCCTGTTCCCCCCAACCCAAGATGCACAGGGGCAGGAGGTTCCCAGTGGAGCCCTCAGTCCCAGGGCTGCAGGTGGCCACACGCCCAGGAAGCTAAATCATGTCAAATTTACGGGGGGGGGGGGGCTCTGAGCTGTCTCTCCTCCCTTTTCCACCCCAGGGGCTAGAACGGGGAGCGGGCACCGTGCAGCTTCCACCATCAGAAGGGGCAACAGCCCCGGGGATGATGACGGGAGTGCATATGGGCCCCAGAATAAGACGTGGAGCAGGGCTGCCGCTCCGGCCCAGACCGTCCCCTGTTCTGCGTCGGGGAGATGCAACTGGTCTGAGTCAAGCCATGGCCTTTGGGCGCTGGTTGCAGGCTCGTAGCTCGTATCAGAAAATACATCGCATGGGTCGAAAAGAAAAGAGGAGGAAACCCTTCCGTAGGTTCCTGAGAGGACAGAGCCCCGAAAGAACCAGGCCCCTTTGTCCAGCCCCCAAGAAGCTTCCCTGTTCTGGGTCAGGCAAGGAGAACGGGCCGTCGGGGGGATGAGCCTGCCCCCCCCACCCCAACGTCCACCCCTCGCCGAGGCCGGGCGGCTCACCTTCTTCTCATCCCCGCCTTGCAGGAGGTGCAGGGTGCTCCTGGAGTCACCCTCACGCTGCCTCAGGGTGCTGCCGTGGGTCTGGGGCAGGCCTGAGGGCGGGGAGATGCTGCGGCCCTGGGGGTCCACCCAGGTGTAGATGTGGTTGGTGACGTAGCCCCCGGGGATGCGCCCTGCCGAGTACACGGACAACAGCAGCTTCTTAGAGCCCTTCAGAGCCTAGAGAGAGAGAGAGAGAGAGAGGAAGGGAGGGACACACGGGTTAGCAGGAAGGGGGCATCGAGGGTCGACCCTCCCTGTTCCCAGAGCTCACCTCTCCCCAGACTCCCCGCCACCCCCACCGCCCCCCAGAGCAGGAGGCCAGCCCCTGAGTGCCCCCAACCCTTGTTTTTCTTCCCCAGCCCTCCATTTTTGTCCTCTGGAAACGAGGACACCCGTTCCACCCCGATCTTGGAGTGGTCCACGTGGACGGGCCCCCTGCCTCAGCCCAGCCAGGCACCAAGAGTTCCCACTGCGCGCCTTTGGGAGGCCTGCTTGGCTGGCCCCGGGGGACCTGGCCGGGAAGGGCGGCTCCCCGTGTCTCCGTTACCCGTACAGACTACGTCGGGGCCTGGAATGCGGGGTCCAGGCCGAGGGGCCCTACGTGACCAGACCCCCACAAATACCCTGGCGCTGACTCTGACGAGCATCCCTAGTAGCGACCACAGCTCATCCTTGCTCCTCCTACAGCGGAGGGAGATTCCGAAGCCTGTGCCTGGTTTCCCACACACGTTGCCCCCTGCACCCGTTCCCTGGGCTCACTTCGCTGTGTATCATTTCACTGGCGTAAATCTTCTTTTTTTTTTTTTTTTTAAGCCTTTATTTGAGAGAGGCAGAGAGAGAACACGAGCCAGGAGGAGCAGCAGAGGCAGAGGGAGAAGCGGACGCCTGACTGGGGGCGGGATCCCAGGACCCTGAGATCAGGACCCGAGGCGAAGGCAGATGCTTAACCGACGGAGCCTCCCAGGCGCCCCTTGCTGTCATAGATCTTTGTCCCAGGTTCGATGACACGCTGGACCTGTGAGCCCTCCCAGAACCCGAACAGGCAGAGCAGCATCCTTGAGAACGGAGAGGAGGCTGGTGCCTTTGACGAGAGAGAACACCACGCAGAGCCGGCCCGGGGAGGGCCTGGGCGGTCACCGCGTCTCCCACGCGTGCCCGCCTCCAGCAGTTCTCAGAAGGGGTCCCTGGGAGCCCGCGATCGGGAGGGACAGAGAGGCAACGAGGATGCAAAGCACAGCCGAGGACACAGGAGGCCAGCCCCGGGCAAGCCACTGCCCCGTGCGCCTCAGTTTCCCCAGCTCAAGACTGTGGGACTAGAAAATCTGACGACCACACGGGACACCTGGGGGGTTCAGGGGTGGAGCGTCTGCCTTGGGCTCAGGCCGTGACCCCAGGGTCCTGGATCGAGTCCCGCATCAGGTTCCCTGCACAGAGCCTGCTTCTCCCTCTGCCTGAGTCTCTGCCTCTCTCTGTGTGTCTCTCATGAATAAATAAATAAAATCTTAAAAAAAAAGAAAAAGAAAGGAAGAAAATCTGACAGCCACTCAGGCTGAGACCCTTCCAGAACCTCCAACGCTGGCGTTTTGGGTAAATGTGGGCTTCCAGTGGGTCCTGGAGACCAAGAATATTATCCTCATCCGCTCCTGCCTCCTTTATTTTTCTGGCAAAACTGAACAAACACAAGATTCCCGAAACAGCCGTTGCCGCGCCAGAGCAGGCTCTCGGAAGGTGGTCTGGGTGCAGGGCCCTCGGAGGCCGCGCCGACGGCTGCGCCCATGGCCCCTTCCAGCTAAAACACGCTCGTGTGTGTGTCACGCGGGGGACACATGTTGGCAGAGACCGTCTGAGTTCCTGGTCTCCGTCTTCTTTCTGCCTTTTTGTCTCCATTTTCACCAATAGCCACTTGCTGGTCTTCCAGAGAGGCTCTGAGCCGACAGGCGACCCCCTAAAGGCCCAGGTGACGTGGGCTCCGCCGCAGAGCACCCCCCTCCCCCAGCTCTCCAGCAGGCTCAGGCCCAAGCGGGGGGCAGACCTGAGATGCCCTCATTTCTCAGAACCCCCAGCAGCTCCTGTCTCCACAGCGAGCGGCTCAGGCGGCAGAGGACACTAGGAGCTCTGCCCGGGAGACAGGCCCAGCGCGTCCCCACCGTGTCCTCCCCTGGCCGGGCCCGGTTCCGCCACCCAGCAATGAGCAGCGTGAGGTCACTCATCACTGGGGTCCCACCCCGGCCTGGCGAGCGGCTCCGGCTAGAAGGAAAGGCTGCAGCCGACGGTCCCGACGGTCCTGAGCCGGGGCCACAGGGGGATCAGGGCCCTTGGCCTACGGAGCACACACGGTGCCAGTGGCCCTGGGGAGTGAGGACTCAACGCCGTGCTGGCGGAGTCCTGGGGCTCACCTGGGGGCTCCGAGGATCCCTGTCACCTGGAAGGGACCAAGAGGGTGTGAGAGACCAGGAGGGCGGAAGGAGCAGCTGAGGTCGGTGTTGTCACGGCCGCGGGGACGTCCCCAGGGCCCCCAGGGCCGGGCAGGCGGGCATCCTTCCCATGGCTCTGCTCCTCGCAGCCGGCTGCCTGCGGGTGGGGGGCGACCCCCAGCACCCACCCGAAAGCCACGTGGGTGTTCGGCCCGTGCAAGCTGGTGACCGCGAGCCATGCCTCTGTCCGGCAAGGCCGCCTGCACAGCCAGCCCATCTCCTGAACCTGCTGCTCATCGCCGGCCCTCTCTGTGCACCTGGTCCTCTCCTGTAAGATGATTACAGTCCGCTCTCTCCTGGGGCAGGGGAGCCCCCGTGGCACCGTGCCCGTCGCCAAAACAGCAACGTGAGATCTAAGGGGAGGCCACTACGCGCGGGGCGCCCACCAGAGGCTAAGCTCCCCACGCTGCTCCATCGCGCGTGTGCTGGGAAGCCCGGCCCAGGGCCTGCTGCGTTCCGCGGAGCCGGCTCATCGAGGCTCAGGCTCCAGCCGTCGGCCGAGGACTGTCGAGGCAGCGCGTTCTGATTGTGGAAACCGGAAGGATGCGTGTTTGTCTTCGAACTTAATAGCTTGCTACTTGGATTAATGCTCTCGGGAGGCAAATCGGCCTCACGCGGCTCCCCAGAGCTGACTCTCGAGGCCCCCAGGTCGCAGACCGGGCCGTGTGGCTCCGCTCAGCAGCGGACGGAGGGACGGACGGGGCGGCCCCCGCGGAGTGGACCGGGCGCTGTGCGATCGCGCGGCACAGGCCCACATGTCCCGTGTCCAAGGGCACGCAACTGACGTGCACGAGTGATGTGGGCCACGAGGTCACAGGACAACGGACTGCGATCCCCGGGGGCACGGGCACAGGACGCGCTCCGGCGAAGTCTCAAGGAAGGGACATCCTGGTGACTCAGCCAGCTGATTTCGGGACGCAGACCTCGAGGGGTGAGGCTTTCTCAGGCACAGAGATGCTCAACCTCAGGAAGAGGGCCCGGTCTGAGACCCAGGCCCAGGTTAGTGATCAGGAAAAGAGGAAAGGATGACACGTGTGCGCTGTCCCCAACCCCACCTTGCCCAGCTGGGCCCCTGGGTTCCGAGTCACTGGGCCTCAATCCTGATCCGGCTGTCGGCTTGCTGTGTGACTCGGCAAATGGCCTAACCTCTCTGTGCCTGTGTCTGTACTTCAAATGCAACTGTTGGGGCGCCTGGGGGGGGGCAGTCAGAGGTTGAGCGCCTCCCTTCGGCTCAGGGTGTGACCCCGAGGTCCTGGGATCGAGTCCCGCATTGGGTTCCCCGCAGGGAGTCTGCTTCTCCTCTGCCTGTGTCTCTGCTTCTGTCTCTGTGTCTCTCATGAATAAATAAAGAAAGTCCCTTAAAAAATGCAACTGTTCTCAAGCATTATTAAGATAACGTAGAGGGGCCCAGCTGGCTCCATCAGAGGAGCATGCAACCATGGATCTCGGGGTTGTGAGTTCGAGCCCCGCGTTGGGTGTAGAGGTCACTTAAACAAATAAAACTTAAAAAATATACATAACATAGACTTCTTATATATAGTATAAAGCACCTGGCACATAGTAGGTGCTAAATATGAATTTTCTTCCTCAGTCTACCAGCTTCTTCTCCCAAATCCAAGCCCTAGAATTCTCTAAAGTCCTAATCTACGTGGACACAAATACAGAGGCAGTTCTGGCCTCTCTTACAACTTTCCTTTTTTTAATTTTATTTTTAAATTTTTAAAAAAAGATTTTATTTATTTATTCATGAGAGAGACAGAGAGAGGCAGAGACACAGGCAGAGGGAGAAACAGGCAGGACTCGATCCCAGGACCCCGGGGTCACGACCCCAGCCAGAGGCAGATGCTCAACTGCTGAGCCACCCAGGCGGCGACCCTCTTACAACTTTCCTCATCTGCAGAAACATCCTTCCTTCCTCTAATCCATATACTCCCTCACATCTGCCCCGCCTCTGGCATTCAGCCCATTCCCACCACCTCCAGGAGGGCCTCCTGGATGGTGACCGACTCTCCTCCGAGGGCACCCAGCACGGTTTGTTGCCATGTAAACGACGGTCTCCGCCTCACCTTCCTACACCCTGTCTCTGGGAACACAAGCTATGTTCCTTGAGGCACACGGCATGCTCTGTTTTCTTTAGACCCGTTGCCAACCAGATATTTATTGAGCTTTCTGAATGCCAGGCAGCCCCAGGGAATCTTTTAAATGAGGCCGCAGAAAGATCAGCGCAGCTGACTAGGGCCCAGGCAGCCTCGGGTCACCGCCCCACGCCTCTCCACACTCGTGTGCGCACACACACCTCGGGCTCACACAGAACTTGGCGAGAGAAGCAAGAGAGTGGAGACAGGCCGCAGAGAGTCCCGACCCAGCTCTGCCACCTGCCAACGGCAACCTGGTGCAGGTCACTGGGGTGTGGCCCAGTTTTGCAGGCATAAGACCCTATAGGGGTGGTATCCTATCATAGGGTGCTGGTGAGGGTTAAATTAGATTTTTTTTAAATATTTTATTTATTTAGTCATGAGAGACCTGGCGGGGGGGGGGGGCAGAGACACAGGCAGAGGGAGAAGCAGGCTCCATGCAGGGAGCCCAATGCGGAACTCGATCCCAGGACCTCGGGGTCACGCCCTGGGCCAAAGGCAGATGCTCAACCACTGAGCCACCCGGGGATCCCGTGGATTAAATCAATGTAAATGCATGAAGTGTTTG